CTTGCTTTTTTTCTTAAGGAAACTTGAAGGTGGGGGGCTGGGGCTAGAAAGCAAGTAGTAGGGAGAAAACAATTCAGCAAACCGTCCTGCCAAGAGGCCATCTCACTGCACCACCTCTGTGCAGCGGCTCTGCCCGCCTGAGAAAAAGGACTGCAGGCACCCTGGGACACGGCCGGGCACGGCTGCCGAGCCGCAGCTCCACACCCCTGCAAGGGCTCCGTGTCCTCTGTGCAAGCTCTCGCCACTGAGCCCCAGCAGACACCCCCGGGGGAAAGAGGGGAATAGACTATGGCCCCGTTTACTAGGGTTGTCCCAGGCAGTTCTGCTGGAGGTAGGAGCTTGCCCTCATTCCAGCACAGATCTGGGACAGTCTCTATTCCCAGCATGCTGCTGCAGGGCTTTACCGCCCGCTCACCCCAAAGTACGAGGCACCCCACGAGCCCCTGGTCTGCACAGGCAGAGTGCAGCAGGAGAGGGCAGGGAGGAGCAATGGAAGAGGGAAAAGCCGAGGGGGCGCGGAGCAGCTCCAGAAGGTGCAGAGATACAGGAGGGGTGAGCGAGGACAGGAGTGAATAGACAGGAGGAGGGCGGGTGACAGCGAGAGAACAAGTAGCAGCGGATCGCGGGGAACGTGGAAACAGACAATTAGCAGAGAGTCTGCAGAGGAGAGAGACAAAAATAATTAGAGGAAGTGGTGCAGCTGAAAAGAAGCGATGACATGAGTAGAGCAGGCGCAGGTGCAGTCGGCAACATGGTAAATACTGGCAGCTGCACAGATGTGATAAACACTGGGCAAATATGGGAATACCTGTTGAATTGGTTTCTCTGCTGGGGGCTGCCTCCACAGCCCTAACTGCCGCAGTGGGCCTATGGGAGGCAACAGCTACAGAGGGAATTATTTCTTCCTTGGTGGCAGAAAACTCTGCTATGGCAAGAGGCCCCTGGCACAGGACACAGCCCCGAGGAGAGGCTGGAAAGGACAGGAGAGGAAGTGCGCCCCTTGTAAATCGGATACTTTTCTGAGGCAGCCGCTGTGAGATCTATTGGGAGAGTGTGGGTCTGCAATGAGTTCCTCTGTGCTCCGTCTGCACGGAGTAAACTTTATCCTTTCTTCCCATCCTTCTCTTCAATTGGAGGGAGAAACAGCAGCAGTCCTTCTTGGAGATCAAAGTTTTAGCAGGCAACAAAGACCTCCAAGGAGGCTGTTGCCATGGCTACCTTAGTAAAGGAGGTCTTTTAATCACGCCAGTCTCCTTTGTGAGCAGCGTGTGGCTGCCACTGGCAAATAAGAAGGAAAAGAGGGGTAAAAAACCTTGGCAAAAAGTAGCACTTCTAAATGGCGTGAAATAAATAACCAGGAGTAGCAAAGGCTAGGATGAGAGGGATCGGACCCATATTACAGAGGTGGCAGCGCCATGGTCCAGGGCAGGGAAGAAGCACCAAGCGAGGACAGGATGAGCACTTTGGGGGATGGAGGACATCAGCGGCCTTGCCGGCATCAATGCCTGTCCTGGATTTTGAAGTGGGGGGCTCCCGTGCCGATCACTTCCTTCGCCCACTGGCACTACCCACCCTCAGTCACCGAGGCACCCTCGGCAGGAAGCTGCCCACAGACACCTCCTTGGCTGAGATCTGGCCCTCTCATCCCCAACACGTGGCCAACAGCACTGACATCTCTGCCAACTGCTGTGACCAAGTGCTGGCTCAGATGCTACTGGCAGATTTTCAGCAACAGAGCAAAATCCTAAAACCATCGTCTTGTTAGGGAGAATTTTGCCAAGAACTCTTCCGTCTCCAAAACCACTTCAACTTTCATAATACAGTCTCTCCTGGCACACAAGAGACTCCAAACCTGGCTATATTTATACCAGCTATTGAGTCACTTTGCTGAGTAAGAACTGTCTTATTAGCATTGCGCGCCATACACACACACGTCCCAGTAGAGATTTGTCCTCTCTGAAAGCCAACGCATGTCTCCATTAGTACATTAATTACTGTGCAATATGCTGTGTGTATATGTATCTACATTCTTCCCGACCTATGGGTGTTAGACTTGATAAATTTGGGGTTTAGCCTGTATCAATACTGGCTGGTGATAAAAACTGACAAAGATGTCAGTTAACTTAACCAATGTTAAGTGCTAGCTGGCTTCGGAAATGAACATAAACCTCAAGTGCTAATTGTTGTTATTTAAAGCATAACAACGGTAGAAGCTGAATCTTCCAAAGGACTAATTATAAAATGATGTTTCACTAATATATAGTTTATGTAGTATTAGCTGCCGAATTGGATGGAAAAAATAAGCAGGCGATAGCTGTTTAGCAAAGCACATGGAGAACCAAGCAAAGCGTCAAACCAACAACTGTGATTAGCAGATCACTCTCCTGCCTCTTACAGGAACTTGACACATCCTTGGGAACGAAGCCACTGTTTCCTGAAGCACGTCTAAGCTACGTAAAACCTCATAACGCCACCACTGCCGAGTCTGCGCAGACCTACGCGCCTCAGGGTGGCCAGCTGTGCGCCTAGCTGTACCTGCGGCCACTGCTCTGCAACTCTGCCAGCTCAGGAAGGGAGCAGTACAGCTGCTTTCACAGCACCCTGCACCTGATCAGAGACTTCTGGCTCTCGGAAAGGCTTACTGGGTTCCATGCAATCCTGTGCAATTAAGTTAAACTGCTTCCTGATGTGAGCTGGGACACGTGAAGGCCGGATGGGGTATCCACTGGCACTGCTCTCTGCTTCTGAAGCGAAGGTTACTCCTGGCACCCTGCATCCACTGCACCGATACACCTGCAGCTCCTTTCAACAGTGGCTGCAAGGAACGGCGTTACTGAAGCCCAGTGACACCCCCTCACGAAAAGCAGCGCAGAGGGGCTACCAATAACAACGTGCTTAATAGCACCGACGGTGTTTCAAGAAGCAGGACACTCAGCTGCTAGCTCCTAAGATTGAAATGTAGACTTCCTTAAATTTAGGATTCAGCCTTGTTGATTCAACCACATCAGTTCTAAAAAATACAAATATGTAAAGTTGTAAATGGATTCACCAGCCAGCTGAAATATCAGCAAAGGGTTCTACATTTCTGGTAAAACACGAGTGCAGAGAGCATCACCCAACCCCTGATGGGGATTGCTAAGCTCTGTACTAGTCCAGTCATGCCACAGCAGAAGCGGAGTTCAGACGGTTGGTTTCCAGCACACTAGATCCCCTTGGGAGATTCCAAATGCCACCAAAATACAAGTATTTATTAAAAGTGTAATGGCATTTTTAAATTTAAATTCCTTCCTTACTCACTACCAGCCAATCTCCTTCTGTCTTTCTGAGGGACAGAGGTTGCTATGCCTCTTCCCTTGCCGATGCCGATTCCGTTAGAGAGGGTTAAAGTCCCTGACTAAGCAAAACCTAGTGAATGGTCTTTTCAGCAAAGCACATAAGCACATGCTTAACATCAGGTACGCTTCATAAATCCTATCAGCTTTGCTGAGCACAAATGGATACAAACAAATGCTTATGTGCTGTTCTGAAATAGGTGCAAAATGCACATGGGATTCTTGGACGGTACCTAGAGGCCTCCAGCCCCCCTTGTGTGTCAACATGACGCATCCCGGTGACAAAACTCAACACAATCCCATCACAACCCAGGCTGACCAGCTGCTCAGACTTCCCTGGAAGTCTCTGTGCTTGTTTCCCTAAGAGAAAAGGAATACTGTTAATTTTCTCAGGTTTTGGATTTTGCTCCATCTTGTGATAAGGCAGCGTTTGCCCAATTTTTAATGCTGCATCTCACTATATAAAAGCAGGATCCACCACTTCTAGCTAAGCAAGTTTCCTTTAATTTCTTGATGCTGTTTGGTATCTACCATTTTTGCCTCTCAGATCTTTCAAGGTTTCCATATGATATTAAACTTCCCTGTCCAGCAGAATCTTTCTGCAACCTAAACACACCTTTCGATCTTGACATTAACAGGAAACCACTAGAAGGGATAGTTTCCTATTTCCTTTTCTGTTCTGATTTTTCTGTCTTCTGATAACATGAATGGGTAGAACCTCTGCTCTGTTCAAAATTCTAATCTATGCTTAAATCATGCAGCAGCCTCAAAATAAGCAATGTAAATTATGTTTGAAAGACCACCATCAGCAGGGAGCAAACAGTGATGTGCCGTGGGAATCAATCTCCCGCGGATGCTATCCCTCTGCTGGCTCCAGCCGCTCCAACAGGGAATCTGGGTTGCACCCAAAGAGCAGCAAACAGCAAACAAAATCCTTTTACCATGCGTCCCCTAGGACTGTGGAATCACTCAGATCTACATCTGTATTCACTGTCTCCCTGCAAGCCACTAATACCTAGCAGAACGGTGGGATGGAATGACAAATGTCCCAGAAGATGCCAGAATATTAAGAAATGGTATTTTCACCACTGGCTGCTTCCTCTTTTAGCCATCAAAGGGGAGGGGAAAAGGAAGAAAAAACACCAGCAAAGGCAGAAGGAAGAGAGTAAGGTGGAAAGCAGAGGGAAGGAGGGAAGAAAAAAAAGAAAAATGGGTAGGTAACCTGGAATTGCTCCGAAAGCTGGAATGTTGCCTCCGTACACACTACTCAGGAAAAGAAATACACACAGGCTGTGCCAAACAGCACGAGGCAGAAGAAAGTATGCCCACGACAAGTATGCTTTCTGCTGCTGCCAAACTTAGAAGGGTGCTGCGCAAAGTGCAAGGTCAGACCCCCGGGCTGCGGTGAACAGGAAAGCAGAAGTCACGGTAACCCAGCCTAGGCTACGTGCTTCCTCCCAGCATAACCACAACAAACGGGGGCTGGGGACATCATCAAGCCAGCCTCAGAAGAGGGGATTTCTTTGTCTTCCCCCCCTCCAGAGTCTTCTGTACACACTGAAGAACAGATTCTTCCTGTTACCATGGCACTGTTTCATCACTGGTGCCTGAGTGCAGTTGTAGACACAGAGAAGACACCAGATCCCGGACAGGAAGGTGAAGAGGGGACAAAATTGAGCAGCCCATGACCATGTAGCCACAGTCAGCTCCTCTGGAGAGGCCACTAACACTGCCATCTGGCAGAGATAACCTCCCCTGAACCAGCATGGGTCAGCCTTGGGCCTGTTGTTAACTACCACATGATACACAGTCACACTGTGGATCTAGACAGGGGTATGACACCGTCTTCAGGAGGCACCCATTCTCCAATTGTCCATTGCTTGACTGACATGTGAAGGAGGGAGGGGAGGTGATGGCATTGTCATAATCACTCACCCAAGACATTCAACCTGGTTTACTTTGTGATGACAACTACAGCTCCAAATACAAATGCCAATTAAACTCCGACCCTAGCCATGAGAGCAAGGGCACTCGACAGACACGTTCCATTGTATGCTTCTACGCTGTCACCCGCACGCTACAGACCCAAGCTTTTTAAGGTTTCCTTCACAGCCGTACAGAATCTGTACACCCAAGCACCGTGCAAGCACGCTGATCAGACATTGGTTTCAGCAGCTCTTAAGGTAAGTCAAAAGAACTCAGTCTTACTCCCCTGGCATAGGCTAGGGGTGAAGTCCTACAGCTGGCTCAAGGCAGTGTCAACAAACTCCCCCGAAGGGCCTGTTCCACTCTGCTTTGCTCCCCTAGCTGGGATGGGTGCTTTTTTGACCTTTACAGTGAGCTGGACTGTGGAAGCCACGACTAAAAGCTAACCCTGCAAATAGGAAAGAAACCCATCCTGCTCACCGCACTGCTCAAGGGAGCTTAACAGAAACACAGAGCCAAGCGTGCATACCGCAGAGGGAACAGGCCCTTTCAGCAACAGCAACAGCTTAGACCTGATTAGGGCGATTGTGAAACTGCACTTCTAACTGGACAAGTGTAACTAGGCAGGCAGAAAAATCTCCCAAGTCGACATTCAAGCAGATAAACATCCTCACAGGTCAGACAAGTGGGATGGAGGGAACATTAAAAGACTACATAAAGATTTCATGTCTTCTGGGTGTCTACTTTTACAAAACTCTGTCTCAAGTGTTCACTTTGCTGCAAGTTCATTGTTTTATGCCTTAAAAACAAGGGTGCTAACTTTCCACAGCCCCGCACTTTCTGTAGTCGTTTACGCCTGTGTAACGTGCGAGCGGTGTGGGTGTAAACACTACTATTCTGGTTTGGTAGTGTTTGCCACCCACTTGGCCTAGGTGTGAACGACTGCACAAGGTGCAAGGCGATGGGGAAGGCACCGCGGGCACTGTTTCACATAGCTCTTACACCCAGAGTAATGTGGTGCACCAATATGTAAGGAAAGAGACCTCAGCTACCTGCTGAAAAAGCAATCTGCCAAGAGGGCTTACCAAGCACAAGCAGCTCCACCGACTCTTCATTCTTGCCCTCCACATCATCCGGTGTGATAATGAGGCAGTAATAGAGCCCACTGTCTCCCCACATCAACTTCCCAATCTGCAGGTCTGCATCTGAAAGGCAAAAAGGACAAGTCAGGCTTTCTCTCCAGCACCTACAGGAAGATTGAAGTGCTCAAAGCGCTGGGTCTGCCTCCACGTCCCAAATCCATTTCACTTCCTTGCTGAGAAGGGGGGTTAACCTCACCCAGAATATCACAGTATTCAGGAAAAAACAACAGGCTCAGGACTCTGTGGCTGTAAGTGGGAACACAGGTAACACCAGAGGCAGCTCACTGCAAGTGCTGAGAGCAGAAAGGGTAACTAATGCCACTCTCTGCCCTTCCCGCCACCTACATCCTGGGACCCCAACAGTATCTGTGCTGTGCAAAAAGGGCTTAGACAGCACTTCAGCCATCTGCCAAAGAGGTTACACAGAGAGTAAGGAAAACTCTCCCCCTTGCTGAGCCTGATCGCACGCTCTCCACACCAAGGAGCCTCCTCTTCTGGGTAGGTAGTCTCCCAAGACAAGCAGAAGCCTTGTACTTTTGAGGGACAAGGTTTCGCACACAGCCCAAATGTTTAAGGACCCTGCCCCCCCCTTCTCCAACCAACTTGACTTCACCCCATGCAAGTCTCTTCCTTTCACACTGCCCAAGGCTGTGTGGGTTAAGGTTCATGACAGGTAAGCTGGTGAAGTCCAGAATTGAGCAACATGAGGTACAGACTAATTTTTGTATTTTGAAACTGGGAAAAAAAGCAGCAGAGTTTGCAAGGAAGAAAAACCTAGCCCACGGAGACTGAATTCATACCTCCCTTGCTGGCTTATCTTTGTTAAGGAAAATCTACATACAGAGCAATACGCAGAAGCCAGGAATAAAAACATTCTGTTTTATCAAAGGGAAAAGAATACTGCATCAGGGATGGAGACCTACATGGAGCTGGACAAAGGGACGCGGCAAAGGAAATGGCCTTTGGATCTAGGGTTGGTTGGTTGAATCCTAACGTCCGACATACAACAGCTCCCTTCCAGCAGCCTTTTCTAAGGGAGCTAACTGAACAATTATTGTCAGCCTCCGGTATCCCAAGTTGCTAAGGGCCCATTCCAACGCCCACCAAGCACCACCAGGGTAGAAGAGTTACCGTGGACAATGCTGACATCTCTTTCCTTATAGAAGTCCCCTATAGTGACGGCAGAGCCTTGTTTGGAGGCCACGACACGGACTGTCCTCCTGCTGTCCACACAGTCCAGGTAGGGATCCCAGTCCAGGTTCCTCTTGCTCATCGTTTGTAAGCCAGAAGTCGCCATGCCCAAAGCTTCTCCCACCCGGTCCTGGCAGTAAGACTTAAACCTCCACTGTACCACAGCTGGTTGGGTGGAAGAAGTAGAGAAATGGCATCGAAGCAGAGCAGGCTGAAACAGCATGGCCACCTTCTTCTTCTCAGGCACGGTGACCTGCAGTCCTTCCACCTCAGCTAGAAGGCAAACACATGAGTGTCATACGTCTTGGCATTGCTTGAAGAGGGAGCTCTTACATTTTATCACAGCATCATTCTCCCCCACATACATAAAATTGAAACAGCCGCCCATTTCAGGTGCCAGGGCATAATACTCCTCAGTGTATGTAAGCACAGATGTTGGCAGCAGGAGTAAGTTTGCTTTTTTCACAGCCTATGGCCATGAGGAAAAATACAGCATGGTATCCTTACACCCCATGGAGACCCTAACACAGCGGCATGACGATTCACAGCTTCTGTGGCAGGTTCACAGGTTAGAAAGAGATATTTTAGGGGTGGCCACACTCCATTTCTACAGTAGGTCAGCCAAGGGGCCAGATCCTGAGTTCATAACAATCCCAATGCAGAATAAGTCACCCCCCTCCCAATTTTGGTGGCATCACACCTCCTCTTTTAAAGTCACGCAACACACAGTGCCTGGCCCAGCTTGGTGTGCACTGGTGCCCAGTTAGTGCTGCTCGCTCTGCCAAACTCTAGAGATGCACAAAGGAATGGATCCAAATTGCACAGCTCCTGTCAGGACTGGCACGGAGCACCGAGAGAAATTGCTCCACGTGGGAGGTGCAGAGAAAAATGGCCCAAACACTCAAGTTGTTCACATTCCCAGGGAGGAGATGGATCTCCACATGTAATGTTTATCTACCAGCTGACAGGAGAGCTGCAGCCTGGAGCTGATGTATTAAGGCCTCAGGGAAGACGCACGGGACTGCTGCCACATCCTTGCGTAGCTTAGGGAGAAGCCGAGAGTCAGTGAGCAATGCCAGCAGAGAGCCCTTGGGAGAGCAAGGTACTCCATCTACCCGCGGGGGAACGGCCAAAACCTCCCACGCACGCCCTTCATCGCTTCCCTCCTTGCGCTGCAGGCAGCAAGGACTGAGAGCACTTACACAACTCTGGAAACACACGCTGACACTTTCCCAAGTGGGGATGTGTCAGCCCGGAGGCACAGAAACAGCCCAGGAGCAAGGGGAGAGGGGAGCATCTGAGAAAGAGGATGGTTGTAACCAGGGATGCTCTCTGCAGCTGAGGGGCACCAGGGCCTGAGAAAAGGGAACCAGTTTCGGGGCAGGAAAAGTTGACGATGGCAGCTCCCTACACCCAGCTACCATACAGCCCAAGGCCCAGAGCAGTGCACCGTGAAAAAGAGAAAGAGACAGAAGGAAACATTCAAGAGAATAAAGCAGAAGAGGATGTTTACCCAACATCAGGAGGGACTGATGGACTCAGGGGTTGCTGATGGAGGAATGAAAGACTGAGGACAAAGAAAGGCCTCCTGATGTCGGCAAGCAGTAGGAGAGAAGGGCAAATGCCAAGAAAGGAGAAAACACAGAGTAAGGATAAAGTATCAGGGTAAGTACAGGAAGCAACAGGGATAAGCAGGACAACAGTCATGGAAGCAGGAAGCTTACGTTCAGCTGGAAGAAGCTGAAGAAGGTGTCTCAGCCTTAGGTCAAAATAATTTCAAAGGCTGGAGCCAGGTTGCAGGAGATTAAGAAACGACATAAAGATGAGAAGAAATGGAGTCAGCAAAAATAAACCACCCACTCCAGAAACTAGAGATGAAAAGGAGATGGAAGCTGGCAAAAGAAAGTGAAATGACAGGAGATATCTTTAGGTTGGGAGAAAAAAAGAGGCATAGACTAAAGCACTGGAGCTTAAAGCAGACAGAGAGCAATAAATGCATCAACAGTTTGACAGCAGCAGCCGTGAAGGGACAAGGTCAAGCTGGAGCCAACTGCAGACCTGAAAAGCAAAAGCAAGCAAAGATCTCATCATCAGGAGCCAGAACCAAGAGGTTGGACCAACACTTAATATTCATTTCAACAGGTTATCAGCATCCAAACTATAAATCACAATGAAATCTATGAACACCAGTCAGGGGATAAAAGCACGGTATGGTCAGAACCTAAGGGAAAGTGTATTTCAGAGAGGCAAGATAGTCACTGACACAGTTACTAATCTAGGCAGGATTTGACCCTGGGGACTACTGCGTGACGGCTTGCAGGGTGCAAGGGTGCTATGGCATTTGCACAGAAACACTGTACTATGCATATAAGGAACATCACACATATCGCACCTGTGCCATGTGGAAGTTGCACGGGAGGTGTCATTAGTTCTGCCAGAAGGGTCTGGACCCAAATCCAAGCACTGAAAGGTGGGTGTTCTCCAGAGCACCCTGAAACACAGCTGAGGTCCCAAGATGCTCCCACAGGAGAGGCAGGGGCACAAGGCACAGGTTGCCCAGAGAAGCTGTGGATGCCCTGGAAGTGTTCAAGGCCAGGCTGGATGAGGCTTTGAGCAACCTGGTCTAGTGGAAGGTGTCCCTGCCCATGGCAGGGGGGTTGGAACTAGATGGTCTTTAAGGTCCCTTCCAACCCAAACCATTCTGTGATTCTATGAGGCAGATCCTCCACCTTCCCAAGGCGCAGGCACAGACATAACTCAAGAAGTGCCAGCTGGGTTGTTTCTGCCAGGCATCCTGTTCCCGGAGACAAGAGGGGCCAAGTGGCACTAAGGGAATGTCACCACTTGCTTCTTAAGGTGAACCAAGTGGTGACGTTGCCTTATTCTCGCCTCTCCAGAGACACAAGCTTCCCAGGTTGCATCTGAATGCAAGAAGCATGAGGAACACCTTGAAAAACAAATGGGTCTAGGCCAGACCTGAATCTGGCAACTCTGTGCCTGACCCCAGGCAGACTGTGGCCAAAGCCAGCATGTCACATGGGCTGATCAAGTGACTCATCACGTTACTTCTGCTTCAAGCACAAAACGGTGACACAGTGAACATTCAGAGCTTTCCCTTGTGAACGAAGTATGCTCGTCAGTAAACACAGCGCTTTCAGCTACCCATGCACCACGGCCCTCCTTCCCGGTTAATGAGATTAATGAGTTTGGCAAGCCAGGGACTGCTTTAATAAATGATTAGCTGAGCTTTAGCAATTCTCATCTGACTAACTTTCCCCACCCCACCCCCATGTGAATGTCTATATCAAGAAAAGAAAAGCAGCTTTTGGGAAAATACAGGAATTCTTTTTCTATCCAAAAGCATTTGGGAGATGTGCTGTAAATTATCTGCCATCTTCTATATCCTATCCCAAGCTCTTTATTAACTTCCAAAGTATTCTTTTCGGATTCCTTCCAGAAATAGCATTTAAGGGCAACACAGTGCCTCAGACTGGGAGACTGGCACAGTGGAAACTCTACATCTATTTAAGTCAAATTATACATAATTATATATGGCTAAACTGGGAAATTATACACCTGTTACTTCCTCTGCCCCAAAAAGAAGTCGCAACCAGTTCGTGTAATGCGTCACTGCTGTGCGAGCGTCCATCAGGAAGGCCAACAGGATGTTCGGCCGCCTGAAGACAAGGTGGTGGCTTTACACCTGCCAGTTATGTCCACGCACATGAATTACAGGGGTCTGCTTAGGACTTTTCCAACTTCCAGAAGAAACTGCTGACCTCAAAAATCCTCAAGAGACAAGCCAAGACAAGAAAAGCTTCAGCTGTATCACAGGCTGAACTCTGGGCTGTTTATACAGCAAAGCAGAAAAGAGTGAAAGATATGAAAAAGGATGACAAGCTCGGTGACAGCGCCGTGGTTGCTCTTTGTCTAGTTTAAGACACGCAGGACTAAAAAGAAACTGAACTGTGCTCTGCTATGTTTTGACTAATGCACACAGAGCAAGATTAGCCCTTATTTCAGAAGCATCACAGAAATTTAATTCCTGCACTCCAGAGATCCAACCTGTTCATTGTGAATTTCAGCATGTTTGCACTTTCGCAGGAAAAAGCCAGCTCGTGGGAGTCTCATGACGACGTGACAATGTTGCTTTCCTTCTTTATTGTTCTCCTAAATCCCCAAAAAAAAGGCCTGCCAATATTAATGAAGTGCATCTTAAAAACACCGGTATCTTATTCTCAGAAAATAAAAAAAAATCCAGGGTTTTGCGTGTCTGAGCACGTGTATGTATGCACTCCCAGAGAAAGAGCTTGAAAACAAGCATGCTTCAGACACGCAATCGCAGGGGTTTCATCTCTTTCTCACTGGCGATGTGTATTTGTCTCCTTGCTCTGATTCTGTTCCTAAACTGCCCTGGGATTACACATTCGAACTCTGCAAGCGACATTACGCACAAGCTGTCACTAATACATTTTAGTGGTGATTAATGAAAATTCCAGGAAGTGATTATAGAGGGAATACTTGTAAGGGTGCATTTGAGCCTTGTGAGCCAGATCTTCGTAAGCGCCTTCCGTGAGGTAAAGACAGAAGGCAATTGAGAGGTGATAACTTAGACCCTTGCTTTTCAGTTCCCCCCTGGAGAAGTTCATGCCTCCTTGAGGCTAGATGAATCCCAGGAAGATTTAGCTTCACTACATAGCCTCAAGTTAGCCTTTATGAACAGAATCATAGAATCATGGAATGGTTTGGGGGTTGGAAGGGCCCTTAAGGTCATCTAGGTAGAATAAAGTTGATCTGAAACACTAATCCCTGTAAATAATGGCAAAGTCAAACACCGCAGTTCAGTGTAACAGGTCTCAGACTCCATCCTTCAAGTGCGTAAAATAAGACTTGAGTCCAAGAGAAGGCAGCACACATTATTCTTCAGGTCAGCATGGGTCTCCCTACCTGTGCATGCATCACAGCCCTTTCTTTGCAATTATCTGTCTCACACTACCATTTGCCTGAGACACTACAGCTGATGCTATGAAACTACAAAAACTACAACCCCCAATTTCATGCACCTTTGTTGATGGGAGTGGCAGTTGTGCACACAGTAGAACAGAATTCCTTGGGCCCTAAACCAGGCACCCAAGCTATAGTCTAGGCGTAGTCTTCCTAAGAGCTTTGGCAGAAAAGCATACAATCACCAGTAAAAGACAGTGCTCCTAGGGTAGTTTATATGGCAGGGGGGTTGGAACTAGATGATCTTTAAGGTCCCTTCCAACCCAAATGATTCTATGATTCTGCATCACTTCCCCAAACAAAATAAACTGTTGGGCAAAAAGGATGCAGTATCATTCTTTTTTGTGCCTTGACTACTACACATCAATTACAAGCATCCTTTCTCCCCCCTGCTGAATACAGGCACACCATCCACACTTTCAGATGTGAATCAGGAAGTGCAAGATCTGGGCTCTCAGGCTCAGAAGTCAGAGATGACAAAGGGATGTGTAAACAGGTGAATGGAGAGCCAGTAGGGTCACTGAGACTGTGTTGCACAGGGTCTTGCCTACTCACGCTGGACTAAATCCAGCCCATGCTATTAATCAGCAAAAGCCATCAACATCAGATTGTGTTGAGTGGCTCATGGGAAATTAATTGGATGCCTTGCTCTGGTTCCTATCAGACCTGTATTCTTAGCTTGGTGGCCAGTAATTGCCATCTTGTTTAGCCAGCAAGAAACCAGCGCCTGAATAGGTCAGTTGCAGCTGAGGTGAAAGCCTGGCACTGCTGGCTTTCACTGGGAAATTCACAAAACTGGGAATTTCAGCTCCCGAACTGCTTAACCTAGAAGGGGACAAACCCAAAACAGTCCTAGAAAAGCATGGCCTTGCACACCCTGCAGAGCCCCAGTACAAAAACACTCCATGTAGGACACAGCCCAGACTCACAAACTGACTTCAGCGGACCAATACTGGACTATTCCTTGCTCTGCCTCATTCTCTGTGATGCTGTTCCCCAGGCGCCCCATGATCCTGACCTCTCTAGGGACGTACAAAGCCCTGGCATGGCATGGGTTGCACAGGGGCCTTCACAAGAGCTCAGGAGGTTTCATGGGCTTTTCTAGGTATCGGTCTCTTCACCAGCTTCCCTACGCTCACTATACTCTCTTATGACCTGCCCCTTTCACACATTCACAGAAGACAAAAACCAGCCTGTGAATAAAGGAAAAGAAATGGAAAGAGTCTCTCCAAGACTTACAACACCAAGCCATAACACCTGTCCTTGGGACGGCATTGGGATTTCCACTCGTGCTAGTCCCACTCAAGGTGATCTCACAGGAATAAAAAGTAAGAAAACCGTGAGATTTCTTCCCAGTTACACTACGCTTATGCTGTGCGCAGCCAGTAATACCTCAAATCAAGGCAGATAACAGTCCATCCATTTCTCTGCCTTCCCAAGAAGTCTGCTCAGCTGGCCAGGAAACAGCGAAGCACAACTGTGCTTCAGCATGCCCCCTCTGCTTGCTCTCCTCAACCATGGTTGGGAAAGCAGAGGCAGTAAATCTACCTGTCTTTGTAGTATACCATTGCATCGCAGTGGCTCTTGTGCATAGGGAGAGTAAACAGGTACCGAGTGCTCAATTACTGGTGAAAAATGACTTAACAGGGAGAGAAGATCACATTTTAATGTCGACAGTCTTCTAACTGTAACCTTTCCAAGTTTAGCCTGAGTGGTGAGGCAGAAAAAAAATTGCTGTGCTTGTTCTGTAGCTGAAACTGGAGTTCAGCCTCCAGTGCAATACTTCTCTCTAGTTTTAAATACATTAGGAATTACAGCATTAATAAGAATAATGGTAAACCTTAGTCATTCCAGAATCAAGCACTTGGTAGCTTACAAGAACCAGCTTTACACAGGGGCTTAAGGATACTTGACAAATTGTACCTTCTTTTTCTAGAATGAGAAGAACACAGTCCCACGCACATCCTATAGCCCATGACACTTCACAGGAAAGAATAAAGGATGAGCTGCTCTTCATCCTTTTGCTGTTGTTATTAAAACACTGGCTTTAGGCACGTGGGAGAGCAGGGCAGGAGGAAGACAAATCCACTGTACCTCACGCAGGATTTTTTGAAATCGCAGTAAGAAGCCACAATGCACAAAACGAAACAAAAGACAAATGCAAGAGCCAAAAATTAAAGACAAACAAAAGACAGAGACGAATTATTGCTGGGAGGAAAGGAACTGCAAGTACTGATTAGAAATTTCTCAGCCCACCTCGAGGAGGGAGGAGGGGAGAGCAGGGGGAGAGAGCCTCTCTTTCTCACTCCCTTTTGTCTCCCTGCTTCCTCCCCATCTCACACTCCGTCTCTTACCCTGGCCCCTCCACCTCCCAACCCCCACTGCTCTTTCCCAGAGCGGAGTGTACCACTGTGGCTGGATTAGGGCTCCTTACCTTGATGCAGACCTTTCATTCCTTTGCACAGCCACTGGGGAGAGGAAAATCTCGAATCCATGCTTGCCAGCCTCTCTCCCTTTGCTGTGCACACGGGTACACGCTCACACTCACACACCTTTGCTCGTTTGCTTTCTCTCAGCCATGAAAAAGGACAGCAGCGCCTTGCTCTACTGCTGGGCGGCAAGCGGCCGGGAGGCTGGAGGGCAGCAAGCTGACCCCGGCTGCCTCCATCTCTCAGCGCACGGCTATGGCTAACCTGTTGCCTGCCGGAAGCCTTTCCCTGCCGGCAGCAGCAGCGGCAGGCAGTCGTGTCTCAAAAGCCAAGGGCTAGAGGAGACTGGAAGGTCTTCCTGCTGCAGCAGTACCTCTCGCTCTGCACAGACCTTGCACGCTTCGAATGGCCGTCGCTGCCAGTAACCACAAACTACCTTTAATGGGGGCAGAAAGGTGTCAACAACCGTTTTAGCTTGATGGAAAAGTCCTAATCTAGCCAAACGTCTCCAGATAACGAACCTCTCTAAACAGAAGGAGGAATGTAATGTCATGTTTATCTACACCCTGTACTCCTTCACCAGCCCCTGGATGCTATTTATCAGCATGTCGCTATGGCTAGCAGGAAAGGAGCAGTACTTGCGGATGCACTGGCACTCCAGACCAACTCAGTGAAGTGGGATATGTTCTGAAGCGGCCCAACGGCAAGGAGAGAGGAAGGCAGGGAGCAAGGCAAGGAGGGAGGATGAGCTGGAAGCTGCCAAAGCCCCAGATGAGGCCGTGAAACCCTGGAAGGGAGCAGTAGGCAGGCACCGGTGTTGAGGATGACTCAGAGTGAAAAAGCAAGGAAAGGGGTGGGTGGGTGGTGGGAGAGAGGTGTTATGACTAAAAGCCGAATTTACTGCTTGTGAATCTTAAATCTGAATAGGAAGAGGGAAGAGCCTGAGGTCTTTTTTTTGTGGGATATATTGGTGATGGTGGGAAATACGTGCCACTTAACCCAAGTGCGTCTGTTCCTTCTGTCAGCCTGTAACCAGCCTGCCTGGCTCAGTCAGCCTGCTGCAGCCCTGCCGAAAGCCCCCCGGCTCCTGCCTGCTGC